GCTGGAGTTGCAACAAACAGTTATGTAAAATATCAGTTCAATGTTCAGAACAGGTCTTAAAAACATCCAAAAACCCTGCCTCAAAACTCCAAAAATACTGTGATATTGGAATTATCAGAAAAGAACACAGAAGAGAACAAATCACTGGCACCATTTTGTTACTTTTAACTCCTTAATACTCTTGTATTTTTAATACTGACTGCTGTTCTGTCCTCTTATCTCTCACCCAAATACAGGGAAAAATGACACCCAGAACAGCAACAGGCTTTCAAGGCACAGAATGGCAACAATAAATGATGGACATTAGGACTTCTTAAGCTTACAGGGAAGAAAAGAGTAAAAGCTCTCTAAAGTCATGAGCATTAATAAAGTGAGCAGAAAACAACTGTCAACAGTAACATGAATTTAGAGGCATTAATTAATAAATTACAAAATTTAATTTCTGAATGATGATGTAGACACAGGCGCAGCAAGCTTTCACAAGTTTAAAAATAAATCTATGCAGAAGTTTCATGAAGAGCTATTAAAAACAGAGTTGGCACTTCTGGCACAGGAAAATTGCAACATGAATAGAAACTGGTAGAACAGACCAGAGCATACTGTGATTGCCCTGTCTTGTACTCTTCTGGTATCTGCTATTGGTCACTGTCAGGCACAGGACAAGTAAAATGGACTTTCACCACGACGCAAGGACAGCTGTTCTTATGTTCTCAAATACTTAATTTCAAGGGACAAAATCTCCATCAGCATTTAAAAGAGACTCCAAACATGGGAAAAATGGTGGAATGCACTCTGCTCTCTCACTTCACCAATCATTACTGAAGAAGAAAAAAAAACCCTGCAAACATAAATGATGCTCTGCCAAAAGCAAAACACATTTCTTTGGGAACCACATAGTGCATTCACAGCTTAACCATCAATTCTCACTGGGAACTAACCGAAGGGGCAGCTGCAGTTCTTCACATCTCTCACCAACTCTATCCTGCATCAGACACAGTGCCGAGCTCTTTGACTCCCGTTAAAACTACCACCATACACATTTAAGTTTAGGACTAGTTGTGTCTTTCCTGGCAGTGCTGCCATATATTTAATGAAACACACATCAACTCAGAAAATTCCCTCTATTAGCAGATATTTCATTTGGTGAGCAATTTTCCTTTTTGCAACTTAGAGCATCCCATAGGTCAATGTACAAAGCTGCAAGATCGTCACAGGATGTCTCTGTTCAAAATGAATGCACAGTTACTCCAGCAATTTTAAGGAATTATCACAGTTCAGATAATAAATAGATATCCAATGCTCAAACTTAGTGCTCATTATTCTCATCTTATTTACTAGAGACAAGGAGCTGGGGGGAAAAAAGTTACCTATACAGTCAGTGGTGGTAATGCACAATCACAGAAAGAAATAAACTCGGATGTTCATGAAATATATTGCTGACTATTTACATGATACTAAGGACTAAGATTTTGCTTTGAATCTTTTCAGTATTCTGTATCCCCATAGGCCTTCAATCACCTCCTGTGCCTCTTCTGAAATATGTCTTTCTACAGCTTGTCTACAAAAAGAATCTCAATAGTAAGGGAAAGTGTAATTTCATGTGACCATATGCATACACTTGTTCCTGCCCGCTCCCATAAACAACAGAGCTGTTAGTGAATTATTTTATAAACACTGGAAGACACCACCTTCACTCAGAACACCATCTTATTATGAAAATCTTAATTTTTAATTCTTTGTTCACACAACTTCATTACTAAACCCATGAAGTTAATGAGATTATTCACATGCCCTAAGCTAAGCAAGCATACAGAGTGTCTTCTTGTATTAAAGGCTTAGTTGAAAAAGTGGCAAGAAAAACAGCAGAGGAATTATCCTAATAAAGACATCAGATTTTCTGTGGATTAGAATTAAGGCAGAACTGTGTGTCTTATCTCACTTTCCCCTGGTGTTGACCAAATGCTCTGCAATCGTCTTGATAGCTGAGCTGAACAATCAGGAGAAACTGCCAATGCACCAGGATGACTGGAGTGGGACAGACACCAGCCTGAGTCTTGAGACATGAACTCAATTTCTGTTCTCATCAAGAATCTTCTTTGCACTCCTGGACAGGCTACCTCAAGAAGGGCCCGACTGCTGCCTAACTAAAAGTCTTTTCTCTAAAGCAGAGTAGAATAAGGATTTCTCAATGAAATACATTAACAGCAAAAACAAACAAAAAAGTCCTTATACCAATGCTACTAAAAAACCAATGACCCTCTTTTTTTTTGTTCAGACAATAATGGTTCAGAAACAGAATAAGCATTTTATCTGAAGATCTACAAACAACTTAGTCACTATACAGCATCAGTATAAAGATTTTCAATTGGATACTACATGAAATTTTAATAAAAAATAGAAAATAGAAAATATTATGCAGCCTTCATAACAGTCATCTGTCAGCTTGAGCTCTAATATGCCTTCATTTCAACAAAATGGACAAAAATGGAAAAGGTTCCAAATCTTATGCTATTGAAATGTATGCAAGTTGTGCACTTCACAGGAGTCACATTTCATTCCTTAATGTTAAAGTCTTTAGAAGAGAGAGATCATTACTCAACACCTACATGCTTTGAAAAATACAACAAAATCTCTGAAGTGACATTAACATTCCTCCACTGTCAAATGAGTCATCTTTTTCAGCAAGTAAGCTCAGAGTGAGATAAAACACTGAGAGATGATATTTTAAAAACAAAGACTACTTTGAATTCTATCATAAGAAATGAAATTAAATAATTACTGTTATCTTAATTTCGGCGTTTGGCAAGCGACAAAACCTCATCCAAAAGTGTAAATGTCCATTTACATAACTTGAGTTCAAAGTTCACTTTTCATACTGGAAAAGTCTGCTATGTGTCTAAAAGAAATAGTTTTTTGGAAAAGCTTTTCCCATGCTTCTATTTGATCAGTCAACACAAGGTATGATTTTTACATGATTCATGTGAACAAATGTCTATGTTTCACTTCAAGGACTTGCCAAAATGTCTAACGTATATGAGCAACTCCATGTGTCAGCAGACCAGAAGAAATGTCTATAAGGTAAGGTGAGTGCCAAGGCAAACTCAGCAACAGTTGCTTTTTTAAAATCTTGAAATATTTATCTTCTACAGCAGCCACATGTCTGCATGGAAATAATTAACAGGTAAAAGACACACAGAAACCTGCACATGACAATTTATCAAAACTTTCTACTTACCCTTCACTCTTCACATGTAAGGCTTACCCAACCTATTCTACAGCTATACAGCAAGGAACTTCCACTTTGCATTTAACATTCTCCAATTCTATTCTCAGATCTTAAGAAATCCAACCATGCAACTGTTCTAATATTTAGAACTTATGCTTCTAAATATTACAACTTTTTGGGTCTTCATAATTTTGTTACAGAGAAAATCCAAACTAGGTAATAATCTTGCATTCTACTTATTTAAATATATCATTTTGTTTTATAAAACCATCCAACAAACCACTCGGATGACGACAGCTATGTTGCAACAGCTGAAGAGTAAAACTGCCAGAAATGCACACTTCAAAGATCTGTGGTCCAGAGAAGTCATTGTACTATGGTGCTCCATTTTCCACTGGCGTCAGCAAAAGGTCATAAAATGCACCTTGGTGACCTGTTCTTGTGACTACACTGTAAATGCTTCCATACTGGTTTACCATGGCTCTTACGACTTAGTGTCTCTGAAACTCTTTGGGCCATACACTCATAAAATCGACCATTTACTGTGGACAGATACATGTCTTGTGCTCAAAACTTCTTGAGCTCAAACTTCTACTGCTCCAGGGAAAGTGAAAAATAAGAATGAAGAACTGAAATAGTTCTTTTTACTCTTGCACGAAATCTCTCAGTTCTATCACTGCTAACAGACAGACTTAGACTTACCTGTTGTTCGAGTGTTTAACTTGGTACTAAGGTTTTCAGATGTGTTGCCTTGAAAGTAACTTTCCAGTGATTTGGGGTGTTTTTTATTGTTGCTGCTTGTTTTTTAATTTGTTTCGTGGGTTTTTTTAATGGTTTACTTACTTTAACTGATGGCACTTGATCTACATCCAGCTCTGGCATACCCTAGTTAATCCCAGTTATCTGTGTTTCTGTGGGTTTTCCCCTCCTGAATAGAACAGCCCATCAAATAAGCTGACCAAAGAAAGGGAGAGGTTCAACACACACCTAGGAAAGTCTACCTGAGACTGCCAAAACATCTGCAATAGCCCAAGTATTACATTTACACAGAAGTTTACCCAATAAACAGTTGTTCAAAACCAAGTAACACAAACATATACCCTCAATACTTTCCAACATGTCACATAAAATTTTGAAACTCCATAGTTTCTTCATATTTCTAATTTTATCCTTGTGTGAAAAAACGCATGAAAATATATTGCAACAAGTTTCTCTAGACTTTTATTTTGGCATCTAATAGCTCACTGTGGCTTCCACAACCAGTATTTGAAAAATGCTTAAAAGAACAGTACAGTCTGCCTCACATTTTGTTCTATACGATTGGCATGCTTTATGCATTTTGATTCAAGAGCTGGTAAAGTGTCCCAGACAATAAATCAAAATAGGTGCTATTCAAGCACTACCTGAGTGTAGTCACAGCTAATCTTTAAGTAAGATAAAGCATTAGGAATACAATAGACATATACCAAACTATACTGGTCTTTTAAATACCGACTATTCAGGGAAATGAAACAGCTGAAAGGCCCAATCTAAATGCTACTAAGACTGCTGGAAAGATTGCTAGTTATAACCTTGTCTTTAAAATCAGTGTTTAAGCAGGTATTACATCATGTCTTCTCATCATGAAATGAAGGTAACATAGGTTATTATACTAGGAAACTAAAGGAAACAAACACAGTAATACAGACACACATTTTTCCACAGTGAGACAAAGAAAACAGTTAAAATTTCAAACATCAAAACATTTCAGTTTAGAATTATCTTTTAAACTTACTGTATTAGTTGAATCTTCTTGTAAAATTCTATCATATAACTGGATAGCATCATCATACCTGTTCAAAGAAATTGTTTGCATTTATTTCTGCTAAGACAGAATTCCTGACTTTTTGACTGTCCTTGCAATAGTTAATAACCCACCTGCACTTCTTATACTGAAATATAATACACATATACTAAGCAAACTATATTTATAAAAAATCTTTTGAGTGAGTGCTAAATATCAACAGCAGTATTTCATGTTACCAAGTTAAAAAAACCACATGGTAATTATTTCATGGAATACTGTTTCAGCAGCAACTTAGATATTCTATACCCAATATCTTAGTCTCCTGACCTCTCTTTTTCTATACCCAACAGATCCAACCATCACATCCCTACACTCCCTTTCACATCTCCCAAGAAACAGAAACTCCAAAATTTGAAAGGCAATCCAAAATAATGACATTTCACTTCACTGTTATAATTTAAAACTTCATGTAAGTTTCTTCTGCTGTGACTTCTAAAAAGTAAAAGCAGCTGCATACATCAAACTGAAAAGATTCACAGAAGAATCTACCCCAGACTATAACATAAGTCTTGAAAGAAAATGTTTTCCACCATATTTTTTTTTTTTTTTTTTAATTAATTAATTCTGCTATTTGAAGTATGCTCAAAACAGGTTACTTCAGGCGCTGTGAGCACTTCAAACGTTCTGGGAAAGAGATCTGTGTGTTCAGTCAGCACTGTACATGACCCAAACCTGATAAATGAAATAAGTCAATTCAAAACACCTTTGACTACACAGCTGTTGTGCTATCACCACAGAACCAGGGCACACATTGTGTCCTCAGGTATAGTTTGACAAGCTGTTTTTCAGTGGTACTGCTGATTGATTTTTGAGGATACACATTCCTTCTCACCTCGGACATTCATTTACGTACTCTCACTGCTGCCAGAAGCACAGCTCAGCTGTCCAGTCCAGTTACCATAAGGTATGAGAGGAAATGTGAAAGGAAGCACAAAAGCAGAAACGAGTAGAAGGTGACTGGGACAGACTTTAGCAGATGTGCTGTAAAATGCTGTATTCGTATTCTCTGTTAGTTGCTACCTTATCAAATGCATTTTAGAAGACTGAACATGATGGCCATAATCCCAGCTTTACATGGTGAAGTTCCAGGATATCATTATTTTGATTAGCAAGTGTCTACAAGGATGTCTCAGTCTATGGGGATGCTCTTCATGGTTTCCTCTTCCTATTGGGGAAAGCAGGACCCTTCTTAGATCCTACAAGTCACTTAGAATTTAACAAGAAGTTCCCTTCTTCAATTGAAAATATGACCTAAGTTTTCCTAGACTTCTTTTACAGTCAGTGGAGACAGATAGGCTTCACCAGGGCATGGCTTCCTGCAGATGGATTCCTGTTCAAGACAACCCAAAGCTGAAACCTCTGTCTTTGACTTCTAGAGAAAATCTATGAAGATGAAACCTCAGCTTTTGTTAATGCCTCTGCTCCCTGATACTCCAATCTCAAGGATCTATCCTGACAGAGATCTTTTGTCAAGTAATTTGATGAGCACTTTCAGAAAACTGTGGCTTAATAGCACTTCACTGCTGAAACCACACGTAATGTTTGTGCAACAGTCATCTCCCACAAAGATATGTTCCCATGCAATAACATCTTCAATGCAGTCACATAAGCCTGAACTGAATTATGATCTATTGTACTTCTGAATAGATTTCAGGAGGGGGAAAATCTGCTGCCATTCTCTCACTGTCTTCCTATCCTATATAAAATGAAGACAACAGAGTTAAGATTAATGGAACTTCTTCAAGAATACACATTTAATATAAAGCGAGTGTGAAACCTGAAATATCTAGTCACCTTGAGATGGCTCCTGTGGATGGAGTCCAGTTATTCTTTCTTTTTGATTCATGCAGTGGACAATCATTGGTGGCTCATATCAAATACCATTTTCAAAGTTAATTTTGCAAGAATGTAACAAAAGAACATTTGCTAAATAAATATCTTTTAAAAACGCATTTAGGGTGTACTTCCAACTCCTCTGTATCAAGATGGCCCAAAGGCTCCAAACCTCACCAACTCTGAATGCAAAATGGGGCACAGAACAGATCTGCCAGTATTCAAAGGCACTGAAAGCTGGAAGGCCTTCTCAACACCCAAGACAAGGGCTTCAGAACAGAATGTTGATATCAATTATGTAACCAAGGAAAAGGTGGACAATAAAGGTCATCCTCTAGCCTTGAGGTCATTCATCTCAGAAAGATGAAAAGTTTTAATCTGTTCACTATTTTAGTAATTCCTTTTAAACTTCGTATGTTATAACCATTCTATAGGATATTTCAAAAAGGTCAGTCTGATATTTAGGTTCTGCCATTCTACTCCGTGTGTTTTTTGAGTTGTTTCTGTAACAAACTCCATAGATTTAATCCTTATTAAGTTCATTTACCCACACTCAGAAAACAAGGGTAAACAGCTGCACCCTGCAGTAATGAGGAGCACAGAAGAACAATTAAGGCGAAAAAATGATGGCACTGATTTTCATATGCTTCTCTAGCTCCAAGAGATGAAATATATACCTCACAGAATTTGCCAAAAAAGTGTGCAGTGTTTTACTGTCAAGTAAGAGATCTTTCTGGTCTAGGAAATCTGATGGGAAGATTGCAAAAATGAAACACTGCACAGTACCTGCAAAAATGCAACAGAGATGTCTAAAAATTATAATATGATCATGGCACCACTGTTATTTCCTATAAAGAAACTGCCCAGCATTGTTTTGCCATGACTTTGCCATGACTTCATGTTTTGCCTGAATGTTTTTTTAAGAAAGAGCAAACACTTTTCCAGACAGAAAGTACATTTTTTAAAAATCAGGTTTTACCTTTCCATAGCTTCAAATCGCATTCCAGTTAATCGTTTAACTCTGTGGCTCCCAGGAAACTGCCGCCTTAGTTCCTGAAGACAAAACTATACAAAGAACCAAAAATACTACTGTGAATACAAACATCTACACAGAAGAAGACAACAAAAGAAAAAAAAAAGAAATAAAAAAAAAAGGCCTTGGCTGATAATTCAACAACCTGGAATGGCAGTTTTAAGTAAAAGTAAACACCAACTTTTGATATAAGCAACGCATTGATAAAGAAAAAGTCAGAAACAGAAACTCTGATAGAAGACTGGTTTTAAGAAATATCTTCCATACAGGTCATTAGATTCTGAGGTCTCCTTGGAAATAGTTATTTGCCTAGAAAATTAAACTCACCTACTAAAACAGCCCTGATACTATTAAAACTTTAAGTCTTCTCAGTTGCTGCGTAATAACACAAGGCAGTAAAAAAACAAAATAAAGACAGTAAGAGCTTATGTGATACTTCTTTAATAAATGGATATCTCACAATGGAACAAACTATGCTAATACAAAGCTCTGTGTTTATTTTTAAAATAAAACTTTGAAATCCAAAGAAAATGTTTGTCACTGGCTTGGGTACAGCCTGCTGGAAGAAGAGGCATAGGTTTTAACTCCTGAAATCAATGAGACACCTGGGATAGATAAAAAGAATTCATCACAGGAAGATTTCTCTGGATTAGTGAAAAAGGATGTTTGGTAGAGGGACTGAGTCATAACTTCCCCAGAGCAAAACTAACTTGTAACCGTATCATGAACGTGGCTAGATATCTAGCATTGCAAAGTTTGCAGCTGACTCGTTGTGGTGGGAGGCAGAACAGTCCACAGGCTCTCAAAGACACCAGTGGTTTGAATCACGTTAAAACCTTCACACTGAATCCTCCTCTTCTAGACACTTTATACAACTCAGTTTTGAAACTTGTTCTTCAGAGCTAAGGGTCTAGCAGAGGCCTATCGACATAATCTCTTCCATCTCATCACATCCACTGGTCAAAGGAAAAAGTACTGAAGTAACAGTTTGTTTTTGTAAACAGGTTGCTAGAGTACATCCAAGAGGAATGTTCACATCTCTCCCAGATGCTAAAAAACAAGGATGAGAGAAAGGAAACAGTAACCAAAATAGTAATGCTTAGCCTCAAGTAAGCATAGACTATTTTTATCACAATCAACTTAGTTTGCAATGGACCAAGATCTTAACAACACAGTTTCACACAGAAAGGCTCAGATTTAATACAGAAATGGTTTACTGGCACTTTGAGTGAAGTCTAGGTGAACTGCTGCTGCTCTAGTCATAAAAAATTACACGTACTTAGCAGCATGTTATATGATGTCTGAACGAATCAGTGAACGTTCTTAAGAGACAGGACAATTTACATGAAACTCTAGAAAAATAGTTTCACTTCGGCTTTTAAACCCCAAACAACATTATAGGCTTTAAAAAGAACTTTTGTGGACAATAAATCCACCTGTGGTCCAGTGATCAGGGAATCCTGAAGGATGGTGATTTTTAATATAAAAACACCTACTACTCTTCTCCAATAAAATGTTCAAATAACAAAAATTGTAACATTTACAATAATTGTAACATTACAATACTGAACTCCAAAATCTGCAGATGGGCATTTACATTTAAAAAAATCTCATTGACAATATGAAAGAACTAGTGTTCAAGTGCAGGAGTCGTACATTAGATCTGACTACACAATCACTACCCAAACAAACACAGCAGCCAAAAGGCCAAAATAAACTCCCACAGATTACACTACCAGACACAATAAAGTCACAGGAAAAGTTGTGAGAAAGTCATGAACAACTCAGTGTAACACAAAACAAAAAGTGCATGAATTAACTACATCAGCTACATCTTCAAAATGTTCTGGACTCAGCAGCACTGAATATCCTCTTTTTAAGCTTAACTTGTAATCCCCATAATCATTTATGTTATTGAGGACTGGTTCTGCACCACGTCAATAATCTACTTTTGAGATTCTCTCAGAAACTCAGTAGTTACAATGGCAAATGCCATTTGTATGTGAAACTTTAATTTGCACTTAATTTGCATTCTGACTTTTTAGTCACGGGTTTTAATTTTAAAGGTCTGACAAAGGCAAAGAAATATAAACCTGAACTTCAGCAGGTAAAACACTGGTAGTACAAGTGTTGCCAAGGTGATTGCACTAAAATGTGCGAGAAACAAGTGGCTGATTGCAGCAGAGACGTGCGTTACACAGTCAGTTTGTGCAGGACAGAAAGGAAACGAGGAAAGAAAAAGAAAAAACAAAAGTCAGATAAACCACTCTGAAAACTACCTCAGCCTTCTCATTTGGAGTAGATGAGACCTGTCCCCCTAAGCAAAATGCATCACAGCTGTCAAGAGCTCACTGCTGAAAAAAACAGAAGTTCCAGAGCTGTTTGTCTACTTTGGAGCTACAGCTGCAGTAAAATGCCATGTATGATGTTGACTTGTTTGAATTAACTACTTCTTTATTATAAATCAGTCAAATTAAAACTAAAAAACAAGCCTAAGGTTTCCCTCTAAGCTTTTAACCTCCTTTCTGAGCTGCATATAAAACGTTGCGTTCCCTCATCTCAAGTATTATTCCTTAAAGGGCACAGAAACTGAAATTTAAAATCCCTGCCAGGGTTAGTAAAAACAAAGAGTGTTTCACAACTGATCTTTCAACACTGGCTCCTTCAACAACTTTGTGAAAGTCTTCCTTAAAAGACCCTGAAAATAAGACCAAAACCCTTTTACATATAAATCAGGACACAGAAATGTATTTATTTAATCAGTAAGTCTATTTGTTTTTGTTTAAACAGACAGCTATACTACATTAGTATTTTCTTCTGAGGAACAAAAGAGAGGGAAGCTCAGTGGGTTCACAACAAGTTCAAAGTCTTGTGCTGTATTTTCCAGCATACTCCATTTTACCATATGCATTTGGGATGCAAGATAAACTTGTTCTGCCTACTTTCAAAATGGCCTTCTCCCAACTGCATCCTCTAGTCTGACTCCTTGCATTAAGTTTCACCCAAATGACATGAAGCTCAAAGACTTTATGAGGTATTTTGCCATCTGACTGAGAACAAGGCACTGGAGAAGTAATCCCCATGAAAGATATGGAGTCCTGAAAATGTCTTTTTACTTACAATAAGCTCAAGTATGATGCCTTTAAGGGCACAAGACAAGCCTCTGGTTTCTTCTAACTGTTGTGTGAAGGAGGGGTAAAAAGATTATTAAAATTTTTCTGCAAAATACACTTTTCCTTTTTCCTGTTGATGCCTTTAAAGGATTAGCTAAGGTTACTTGGGGGTTTTTTTGATTCAGTGTTTTTTTTATTTTTAATCTAACGAACAGGTGTTATAGTTCAAAATAAACTAATTTTATCTAAATTGTTATTTGTTTCATTCAAATAAATTTGCATACAAATTGATAAAACTCAAATATCCATTAATAATATTTTTATCAACAATCACTTAATAATTTGGATTGCAAGGGCCCTTTGCAGTTCACTGCTCCAAATCCCACTCAAAACAGAGCCAGTTTCCAAGGGAGTGCAGGGCCATATCCCAATCTATTTTTATGCATTTCCAACAGAGATTCCACAGCTTCTCTGTGCCCTTTATCATAAAGCGTTCACTAAGTTTTTCCTAATATCTAATTGGAATTTCCTTTGTTTCAGCTTCTGTCTCACGCTCTTTTTTCACATCTACAGAAACATGTGTCCACCTTTTTTTATACCTTCCCATTAGTACATATTCAAAGACAGCAATAAAATCCCTTCTTGGCTTTCTCAAGACTTAACAAACTCAGATCTCAGCTTTTCCTTATACATTATGCAGTCCAGCTCCTTATTCATCTTGAAGACCTGCTCCAACATGTCAATGACTTTCTTGATGGTAGCCAACATAACACATGATATGTATGAGTGGACATTTTACCTCAAAACATCCAAAAAACCAATATAATCTGAGAGGTTTTCAATAAACAAACACTCTCTGTACAATATGGTAACTTCAATATTATTCTTGACATTTAGCCCATACCAGAGTAGCTGTAAATATTTTCATGGCTATTGGAAGAGATGTGATCTGTCTAAACAAAAGTTACACATTAGAGAAGGTAGGTGGTGGCTGTTTCTTCCCAGAAGTGTATTTCTTGATAGATATTCTTTCCACCAGTCCAAGCTATGGAGTTCAGAATGTCCAAAAAACTATCTGGAAGAGATACCCAGGACAAAAACGCACAGTGTGAAGGAAAAGTCAGTGTGAAAACTTACCAATGCCAGATCATCTCGACTGCAGTCCAGGGCAGCAATCATCACCTGTTCATAAATTATCCAAACTGGACAAAAAAGAGACAATAAATGAAGATAATTGGTTTTTGCTTTTTTTTAAGATAAAAGGAAACACCTACAACATAAATAGGATTAATGAATTCTGTCTGTATATTTTTCCCCTTCTACTCTCATGGACCACTGCTGAAACAAGGACAAATTAAGTAACTGCTGGAATTAATTAAAAATATATTTAATCAATTTAGTGGTTTTAGTACTAAAGTACCTTCTGACATCTTGAAAGGCAAAAAAGCTCTAATTCTCTATTTTTCCCAACACTATAATTTCAATCTTCTAAACAGGTCCCCATTAGGACTTGCTCTCTGATCAGACCTGCAGAACAGCCACTTTTCAATTTTTGCCACAGTGCTGAAGAACAGAAAATCAGTCAAATAATGGCTAAGTAACAAAAGTTTTCATATAACAGTCCAACTACAAATATAGCAAGCTAACAGTTCTATCAGGTAATTTTTACATCTGTTTTCTCTGCAGCCCATATTTGGGAAAAAAATAAACTTTTGGAATTACTGCAGCCTAACAGACTAAGAAAGTAATATATATTTTATCAATATCACACACAGAAAGACAACAAAAAGGCTGTTAAATAAAATAGAGACCAGAAAGAGGTAATCAAATAAGACAATGGGAATTTTAAAAATAATGGTTGTTTACTCACTGTCATCTCCAAGTTTAGATGCATATTCATTAATTAACTCTTCTCCAACATCCACTATCTGTTCACTGTTTCGGTAGTTTTCTTCCCTCCATTTCCTCATTTTATCACGCATATCTGTGGGCAAAGGGAAGAAAAAAAATTATATTTACAGATAGTAATAGAATTTTAATGTGATTTCTGGGAGATATACATAGGAAGAATGGGTTTAGAGAGCAACAGACCTAAAAACGTGACTCCTACTAATATTAAAAAAACTACTAGAGAATAGGTGTACCAGACCTCTGAAACCCTATTACACAAACTGTGCTCATGCTCTAATATAATCGATCCACCTTCAAAGTTTGCAGTCTCTCATGAAAGCAACATATGCACTAAAAAACCCTATACCTAGTTATCCAATAAATAAAATTTATCCATGATTAGGTAAAATAAGCTACAAGAGATTTCTTCCAAGTAGTTTTACACATTTACAAACAACACTAAAATTGCATTTCTGTTACAGGTGAATAAATTTCCAACTGAAGTATTAGAAAAACTATTATAACTTTCACTCTAAAGTGAACCTAGACACTCATAGAGAAAGGAGATCCAAGGAGGGCAGACATGGAATTGAAGGCTTTCCATACCAGAGAAATGCCCAAAAGTATAAAAAATATCACTGTTTATCTAGGCAAGACAGAAAAGATAGTTTATTTTAGCATTAGGATTTTTGTTTCAAGAGTACATTTACTATGCATCAGATCTCTAAGAGAGCAGGCACATTCATGAAGTCAGCTAGAGAGCACTACCTAGCCTAGGCTTTATTTATCCTCTGGACCAGGACATTGCTAAGACTGTGATTTTATATACACATACATTTATATACATGTAGATGATCTATATACAAGAACAGATTTTGAGGAAACGTAAGGAAAATAGTTTTCATTACTAGATAGTGGCTTCACTAATAAGAAGGTACCAGGATAACTATTGCCAATATTTTTTAAAAACTTTACAACAGCTGGAAAAACAAATACAACGATAGACCTAAACACTGTCAGTTTTTCTTGCACTTCAAAACACAGCTAATGTAAATGACAGTTAAAAATTAAGCACTGAATGTTGTTCCATCTACCTGAAGTGATCTCGGTTCACTCATAAGACTGTTATTGTGCTACATTTTGTATTTTGAAATTCAACCAAAACCACCACAGTGTTACATTTCATACGCACAGGCAAAGTTAAATGGTTCTAGACACATGATGGTCCCTGGAAATTCAACGTTAGACAGCAAGAATGTGAGAGAACACAAACATTCACAAAAGCTGACAACTTAAATGCCTAAAAATAAATAAGCTGTCTGATTTCCACACACTCATTTACTTGGAAATTATCAATCCCTTCATTCCAGTGTGATTCCAAATGGAATAGTGTCTGAATTATGTATTAACAGAATGCACATTTACCATTCATCACACAAGTACGGCATTTACAGCAATACAAAAACACCTGTAGGACAGCGACTAGAACGTCAGCTGATGACTGAAAAATGAAGTGAAGAAAAAGGTTCTCATTAATGTGAATCTATTGAAAGACTTCCTGGTTTTAGAAATATTGAATTTTATGTAAAAGGTAGAAGAAAGAAAACACTAAAAACTACAGTAAAACTTACACAAGGCTTTTTACAATGTTGTCAAACAATGAATTTTTTACTAAGAAAGCTATCCAAAGACTCAGACAATAACTTAAGTTTGGAGACATCTAATACAAGGCTGGGCAGGAGCAATCAGGGATTTTAGGGAAAAAAAATGTATGGTAGAGAAATGTCTAGTTTTAATTATGATTTCTGTCACATATATAGGCGGATGGTGAGCAACTGATACATTGGGTTTTCCTAAATTGGCAATCTTTGCACATATTAATCAAAACCTTACAAGTTCAAGGGAGCAGATGCACTTGCCACAATGTTTGCTGTTTCCTAAAAGCCCATAAGCAGTCTACTGCAAGCCAAGAGACACAACCTGGGTTTTATTTTTGTGTCTCTTAAGGTGTCAGTTCATTTGGCCTGAGCAACCAGATATGAAGTAATCCTCCTATAAATACTTATACTTTCCTTGATGAGTTGGATCATAGTTTTCAAGTCCTTGACACCTAAAAGCACTCAATGAAATGAATGAAATTACCACTGTTGGTAGAGACACCCCTTGCAAACTCCAAAATGTCACCTTGACATACAGCTGCTACCACAGTCGCTCAGGGACCCCACGGCCATTATATTTCCAGCTCATTTGTATATTGTTCCTCTGTTACAGCCACCAGATCTCCTACCACAGCTCACCTCTGTCCACCCTCACATGGCAGGTGCAGGCAGAGGCACAGTCGGCTCTGTGGGACGCTGAGGATGCTGCCACTAACCCTGACAACTCAGCTGTCAATGGGGCCTCAACTACAGCAAAAAACCCCAGCAACTCACCTTTGTCTGCTGCAACCCCATAAATTCATATACAAAACCCAGAGCAAACTAATCTGTCCCTTTGATTACAACTCTAAATTAGGAATAGCTAAAAGAAAGCAAAGACAGCACAGAACAGAACAACAACCTCAACAACACTTAATTGCACACAGATTATGATGAAGATAAAATGATTTCCTACTCTTTCCAAACAAACAAAATATGAATTGAGTTCCTAAGTCACAGGAAGGAAACAATTTTGTCATCTAAAGTGGACTCTAATGACTAGGGACATTAAAAATAGAAGGGTGGAAGTTTTTAAATTCGTTAGGAACTTTCTCTTTTCATATATAACATGTTCCCAGATACATGCATTTGCAAGAAAATGGCCTCACATATATGCTATTTTAAGAAGAATTCCTTGGAAAAAGTATCTCACATGAAAATGTAATGAAAATTCTTAAAGTGCCTCTATTTAAATAGTGCAATTTTTAATACAGAAAACAGCAATAGTAATTTAACAATACAGAGAACTTAAGCAACAGGCATAATGATCTAATAAAAATCTTAAAAAAATACTCTTTTCACTTGTTTTCAATTTATATAAAGAGAAATCTAGTTTCGAGAATATGCCATTCCTTTCTCTTTTTGGTTTTGATATCCAGGGAAGAGAATTATTGACTGAGAGTTGCTGTGACAGCACTCAAAGATCTCCACAAAGCTCAGCCATCACTAGCTGAAAGTCACTGCTTCATTTTAGCAGGGTTTGAGATGTTAATGCCACGATGCTTCTCTGCAAGGCAAAGAAAACTTAGTTTATTCTGTCCAATTCTGACAATATGTCAGATGCATTTTCTGTGAAAGCCAATTGCTATTTTAATTGTTCTTTACTATCATGACTGGTGCTTGTTTGCAGATCACTTTAATTCTATGCACAGAGACTAACTTGTGTGCTCCAAAACCTGCTCCTAAAATGAAGTTACACAGGTGTTTGCTTTCTTTTAACATTTCCATTCATGGCACAAATTCATCCTCAACGTACCACTGACAATATGATAAATATTTACTCTATGAAGTTCTATGCAGCTCAAGAAACTCCTGGTAAGAGGCTGCACATCATCAGTTGCCATCTGATGTGCTAATCTACTACATCATGCTCCTGTGCCAGACCTGCAGTTCTTGGCTCCCTGGCACTCCACATAGTTTCTTTAATACATTAAGGAAGCAGGAAGTATGCCATTTTCCATAGGATAATTAGCAACAGTGACCACAAAAAAGGAGCATGTCATCTTTGTCTCAAGTAAATAAGCTGTAAAATATATGACACATAACCATATATAAGCTTCTCTTTTAATACCATAGCATCCTGAATCCATATTTGGATCATCTAAGTCCATCAAGACCCTAAAGGGAACTGAGAGGTTTTCCTGCTCCACAGATTTCCAAATACACTTTAAAGCCTGAGACACAGCAACAAAGTAAAGAAAGAAAAAATAAAGACAACAGCTCCAACAGTGGAAAACACAGTTATTTTCAGCTATCTTTCCTAACCCCCCCGTACAACATATTTACCTAACAAGATTTAATCATGGTTGAACTCCAACCTCTGTCTCAAAGAACCTGCGTAAAAGCCAAAGCAAGGTACAAACTATTTCATTTGTCTCATGTTATTCTACTTCCCAAACCTTGAATCACACATTCATCTTAGAGCAGTATGTAAGTGTAAAACATCTTGTTTAGAAAGGCCTGAGTATATATAACAGACATTTTTTAGATAAATATCAGCCATACACCTGGTTTCACAGAAATTGAGCATTTTAGAAAGATTCAAAATGAGCTACATTAAATTCCTAGAACTGTGTTCAAGTTCTTTGCTAGGGACTAGGTCACAACAGTGCTGGGATCACCCCACCCATGAAAAGCCTCATTGCACCAGGGATCTGTTAAAGCTCACAGAGAGAAAAGACAAAAACCTTCTTCTTTAAGAAGAGTCTTTCCGTGACCTGTTGCAGGACTCCACTTTACTTTTCATCTCTTAAAACAGAGATTAAAAAACCCAGAATTTTCCGATGTGCTTTTAAAGTGAAGACAGCCCCTTGTACTAACACAGATCTTCCCCTACCCACCAGCCCTTTCATTTAGACAGAAGAAGATACCAACTGAGAAGCTGATATGATAAAACTCACCAGCTGGTCCTCCAAAATTCCTCATTCTACACACCCATATGCAAAACTATACACACAATGCCACAAATGTCAATCAGAACTCTTGGAAATAGAACACGGAGGTTATTTCTAAGAGTAGGACACTAATCTCAGCATAAAGTAGCCAAGTCCAAAAGCAGCAACCTTGAGCATTCTACACCTGGCCTCTACATAAGAGGATACACTCCATAATGCTCTCAGCCAAAAAAACTAGATCTAAATGTACAGAGATCTGTCCACAGTGCACATTACCCATCCTGCGAAAAAATCTCATTTCTTTTTTCAATCACTGATACCTGACAACAATAGGAGGAAAAAAAACCCCACCTAAATCCCTGGGTTTTTTAACAATGGCTGCTTAAGCAAAATAAAAACTGGAAAAGTTTTTTACACAAGGTTTTTTAGAGCACTGGGTAAGTCTAAGAATAACACCAGCAGTGTTAACAACTTGCAATCTCCCCTCCCAAAGAGCAGCCTGCCTGCTCTCTATCCAAGCTGAGCTTGACACATCTTTTCACAGGAGATACAGAAGAACAGGCAACCAAGCTTTTCCCAATTAGTCAACGACATCATGGTGATGCAAGCAAATACCAGAGCAACGCTACCTATAAACTGACCACCAGACTGGCAAGCAAGTCCACTTCTTCATCCTTATCCATCCAGTTACAGTACTATTTTCTTCAAAAGCAGCTGATATATTTTCTGAGATTAATGCAATTTGAGCTAAAAACTTAATGTGTCAAACTCCATTTTGTTTTGCTTCAGAGTCCTACAAAAAAAAGTGCAAGAAAGACAGCATAGGCACTATTTCAATGAGCAAGTTACAGGCATCTGCTAAAATACATCCCCTTCAATATTCCTCCTCTTATCTACAAAACCAAACTAAGTAATGATTCATGATCAGAGAATTATTCTATTACTCAATTATTTCTTCACAGATTGGCAGTAAATAAATGAAAACCAACGATCACACAGCTTCTCTCTGCATTATCTTCTCTACTGTATGTGTGTAGCATACGGTATACAGCTAAAGGTTCCCTGTTTATGGCCAAAATTATGGAGAACCATTGATTTATTCCTGATAGAAGACTGCAATGGGCTTGAGTGCTGTCTTGAGCTCACATGTGAACACGTAGTGGTTATGAAAGAAGGACCACTGAGAATGTCGAGCAAACCTCAAACAGTATTGATATATGAAAAATAAATCACCATTATGATCAAGCAGACATGAAAGCTACAAAGACCCGAGGGGGCAGGATTTTAAAAAACTTTTGTGTCACTTCAGAGCTTCTTGAGAGTTCCCCCTGAAACGCTTATCATCAAATTTAACGAAAATATCAAGTTAATTTTCAGTTCACCAAGAGATGAACTATGACACAAACTGCTGACCCAGCCAAGAGGCCATTTTCTCTTGGTGGCGCTGTGTTCTTGAGGGGGAGAACGGGCGGCGGGAGGGCCCGCCGCCGGCTCCTGTGGACTGGGGGTCCGAGCCCTGCGGACGGGGGGTCCGAGCCCTGGGGACGGAGGGGTCCGAGCCCTGGGGACGGAGGGGTCCGAGCCCTGGGGACGGAGGGGTCCGAGCCCTGGGGACGGAGGGGTCCGAGCCCGCGGAGCGGAGGCGGCCGGCTGGGGCACTCGGCGGGGAGGCTCGGGGAGGCCGGCGGGGCGCTCCGGGCGAGGTGCGCGTTCACCGCCGGACCTGCGGGCACCTAGGGGCCGAGCACTGTTGGCCGCTCAGGCGGGCCGGCCGCCCACAGCCCGGGAAGGCAGAACCGCCGCCCCTCGCCCCAGCCCCCCGGGCCCGCCTGGGGACTGCCGGCCCGCCCCGGGCCCGCCGCGCTGCGGGGCTCCGGGAGCGCCGCCTATCCCCGCGCCCCGGGGGCCGGTCGGTGCCGGCACGGCCCCTGCCGCGGGAGGGGAGCGCCGGCTGCACGGCGTTACCTTCCCAAGTCACGTCGTACATCTCCGACACCTTCGCCATCTTGGCACCGCCCCGTGACGCTCGCGCTGACGGGCCCGGCCGTCATTGGCGGGAGGCGGGAGCGGGGCCGGCCCTGAGTCCCCTCTGCCCCCGCCGCGCTCCCGCAGCCCCCGCCCGCGGCGTCGCGGCCGGGAGGAGCCCCGTCCCATGGGACGGGAGCCTCCGAAGGGCTGGAGCTGGCGGGGCCGGAGCACCAGGCAGCCGGCGCCTGCCCCGCCGGGGCTCGGGGCTGTGCCGGTCTGTGTTCACTCCGGGGCCCCACCGACGGGGCACCTGCACGATCCCCGGTCCTGTCCCGCCCGCAGGCCAAGGGGCCTTGCCGGGGTTAAAACCTCTGAGCCCAAGCTGAGGGCTGCAGGTTAATTTCCTGGTTTATATTCCACATAACTTGGCCACGTCCAGGTTGTGCACCTGGAACGCGGCGCGCGAGGAGGCGCCTGGTGTGGTTTGGGTCCGGCGTGAGAAGTTCCTGGAGGCGCCACGACCCGTCAGGGATGAAACGTCGGTTTCTCTGCAGCTGCCCCAGACCCACCATGGGCAGTGAAACACCACATAACAAATTCGTGTCCACGGGTCGGAGGAGCCCTGAGGGGGCAAGAGTGGGGCTGTGGGCCGCCAGCCGTGCCCACCTCTGTGTCCTCTCCACGGTTTATCTTCCGACATCACGGCTTCTGCCGACCACCAGACACAAAGATAGTTTCTTAGTAAATGAGGCTCCCCGTTTCAGTCCCGATTTCACTGTTGAAATCGGATAAATGTATTCAGCACATAATAATGGCCAGTCTTCGCGAGCGAAGATTTGGGAAAGGTCATTGACCCTTCGAGCCTGCGCAGTGGATTTTTTAGGTGAGACACAGCGTGCGCTGAACTGAGCCCACCCTTTAATCCTGAGGTTCATCTGCCGGGGCCAAGCAAACTTGGACAGTGGCAGTGAGGTCCCCAGGACATAGGTTTGTTGGGTGCAGGACTCTCACTGCTGCGACCCGGGTTCGATTCCCGGCCCCCCGGGCAGATGGAGCTCGTCAGCCTTGTAAGGCAATCCATCTAAGAGAAGGTCACTCTAAACAAACCTACGTCCTGGGGACCTCACTGCCACTGTCCAAGCGTGCTCGGCCCTGGCAGATGAACCTCAGGATTAAAGGGTGGGCTCAGTTCAGCGCACGCTGTGTCTCACCTAAAAAATCCACTGCGCAGGCTTGAAGGGTTAATGACCTTTCCCAAATCTTCGCTCGCGAAGACTGGCCATTATTATTCAGCACATAAATGTGCCTCCGCTGAAGATGTAAAAAAAAAAAGGTGATGGATTTTTAATTTCATGTATGGTCAGGTTGACATGGAGGTGTTTAGTCATAGGTTGGACTTGATCTCAGAGATCTTTTCCAACGTAATTGCTTCTGTGATTCTATATGCAAAAGGCACTGGATTTTAGAAAATATCACCAGAAACGTAATTGCCTTGACATTTAACTCTGATAAGGTCTCTTATGGGAAATGCTTCAGACTCCATACTCAAAATTAATCCCCTAGCTCCATCAACAAATGAACTCTAGAATCAAGAACGCTGTTTCTATATTCATTATGTTCCTTCCCCTGACTAGTATAAACTACTAATTCTTAATACTATCTACAGTGTAATTAAATGTCACAATTTTGACAGCTAAAAGGCCTCAACTGGAATTCAAATGGTGATGTAAAAATACTGTGTATGCCTAAACTTTCTTTCCTCTAAATGGTTTTTGATTTTCTAGGTGACTGAATTGTTTAGGCCTTGTATAGCACAGCTGTACTTCCAGGTGATTTTAAAATGCCAGTGTCTGTATTATCTGAACATTTCCAAAAACATTTATGTATTTATTCTCATAGTATATGAGTAGGGAACGGCTATTCCTGTTTTACAGGTAAAGGAGTGACTATGGAATGGTTACAGGCTAGATCCATAAAGGATTTAGCACACACCTGCTCTGCACATTACAGGGTAACACTGAAATAGCTGAGGTAAAATGAAAAATTAACTTGCAGAGTTCAGTGCTGCTGGATTGCTGAGCTAGCTATAATGCCTAATGTGAGACAGACAGAACTTTTAAGCATATAAATCCAAAAATTGATGCTTTTAAAAGCCCTGTCAGCTGTCACCTAGTGCTGAAGGAGCTGAAATTTCAGAAACATGTGTTTGAAGTGTTTGGGAGGAGTTTGAACTTGCTGTTCCCTGGACATCTAGCTTTATACTTCTGCACCTGCCCACAACTTTGTCTCGGCAAGAGACTGGAGACGGTACCCCACAGGGGCTCACTCTCGTTACTGTTCTCAGAAATTACTCTGATCTCTCTCCTAGCTAGATTTAGGCAATTCCCCAGTTATTCTGGATTCCTTCCCGAGACGTGCAGCCCTCCACCTGCACTGTAAGACGAGACCGGGTCCTGAAGTTATGCACTGTAAGTGTTGCCTCCTGCCTTTCTTGGACATAGTCTCGAACGACTTGCCTAAAATCACATACACTGTGTTCTGCCGAGCTCAAGGCTGACCCTTCCACTGCATACCTCTGCTCTTACTGTGGAGTAGAAAACCATCCACCCTCACCAAGAGATGGGAATTATTGTTACAATATCCCCTTATGCCAGATACTGTTATAGTTGGAAACAGAAATGTTTTTGGTATTAAGCTTTTTCTTCTTGGAAACTAAAACAGTGGTTTTTAAAGCTGTTTTCTTATGCCAAGGAGCTTCATCATTTAATTCAAAGTTTAAAGTGTTTTGTTAATAAAGCTTAAAATGCTCTAAAAAGGGAATAGTCATGTGAAATCTCTTTTCTGGATCTGTCATTTTCTGCTGTTGTGCCACTTCTGCAGGAACTAAGTGGAAAGGCAATGATCCCAGTCTCACATATTAAGTTGTAAATGCACAGGTTTTTTGAGGGGATTATTTAAAAGTGCAGAAAAGTCACCACCTACTTTTTGTGGGTACCACAGCTAGTTCTACAGATTACCAAATGAAAATTAAAAAAAAAAATATTTTTGGTGTGCTATTAAAAAAACCTTTCTCTTTTATTATGAAACCAATGAGTTAGTTCAGTAATAATCCCATCAGAATTATGGTTCAGAAAAGTGATACCAGCCAAGGAAAAAAAGCATAGTAATTTAACTTGCAGTTTACCAGTATAGCAAAACATGGAAGTCTGTGTCCTGTGCATGAGATATGGGGCATATGGAGACATTTGGGCTCATCACCTACTAAATAGGGTCTAGGATCTATTTTAGTCCAGTAATGGGGGTGGTGGTGGTGGTATTAGTTTACTAATGTATCAGTGGTGGCATCCTTTTAGTAGGTAGAACATAGGAGAAAATAACTCCAGGACAGTCACAGCACAAGGAAGAATGTACATGTGTAGGATCTGTGTATGTTGTGAATGAATAAAGTGACAGTTTATCTTCTGTGTGAATCAATGATTCATTTGCTTGTTAAGATGCACTTTCCCACTGTGCAAGATATGGACAAATTTCGTTTTCTGTATGGACCATTTAAAGATACTATTGTCTTGTTTAGTGATGCTAAAGATCAGTCACAGAAGTTAAATTAGTGGATGAAAATTATAGGGAATTCAAAAAATTTGAATCATTAATCAATTTAAGGACTTTGCACTTTAATGTAGGTGCCTTTGAGTCTGACCCTACTTGGCATTCATCTGTTAGTGTTAGAACTTCAGATATTTTCTTGGATCAAATTTAAAACTTACCAAAGTGAAAAAAATAGGTAAGAAAATAAATTAATACATCTACTTTAAGGGAATTACTATGACAGGTAATATATAGAGGAGAACATTTTAACATGCTTTAAAGTTTTATCACAGCATCACCACAATAAGAAATGCCAAGTAAAAATTTTGTAAGTCATCTTGAAAAGTTTGAGGCATTTTCATATCATTTTGACCATCACAAACTATTACATATTGGAACACACATAGCAAAGCAGTATGATTTTGAATTTTTAATTCAGTGTTACTATTTACAGCCAATTTAAAATTAATTCCCTCTTTCTGACTCCTAAGCTAAAGGACAATCCTTAGGCTATAAATCTTCCTGGCTATTGACAACCACAACTGGAGAACATGCCAGAATCACATCATTCAGCATGCCGTGAAAAAAGGAAAAGAGGAGACACTTTCGGAAAGCTGGGGAAAACAAGAAATATAAATCAACTTGATGAATTGACATTGTTAACAATCCTTAAGCAAGTCAAACAACACTTCCTTTATGGCTTGATACTCTAAACTGTACCCTGAGAGCCTTCTGAGACTGATTTTAAAATGAGCGTGAGATGAACGAACACCACAGATCCAAGTTTCTGAGTCCATATGGTAAGGTAGTGTATGCTTCAAAGTTCATGTTTACTAGCTGACTAACTGACAAGCTTGACACTGCTGTCCTAAAGACACTTCTCTGTGAGCTTAATTAATAATTTTTGCAGAGGCTTAACTGTACCTGTGGGCATTAAAGAAGTGTAAGAATACAATAATTGTAATATAGTGCAGAGGCTTAAATTTGGTGCTGGAAGCTGCTGTTTCCCATAGCTAAAGTGAACAAATTTGCAGTAAGGACCAGCCTTTGCTGGGGTCAGGAGGGACGTGAGGATGGGACATCAGGCCAGAGCAGCCTCCACTCCTGCTGGCCTCCTTCCTCTCCCAGTGAACACCAGGAATGGGGCCAGCCCTGCCGGGAGCAGAGTCAGGCCCTGCCATCCCAGCGCTCCGTGACAGCTGCGCCAGGTGTGGAGGGAGCAGTCTCTGCACATCACTGGCTGATCTAATGCCACAGTTCTTATCCAATTTCCATCCCATTTCCCAGGCAGATGCTCCACTCTACTTAGCAGGCTTGCAGGGCTCGGCAGTCTCATGCTTGTCATAGCAAGCAGCAATACCCCTCTGAGGGCAGAGCAGAAGAAATAAATGTCTTGCCCAGGTGGCTGCAGGGACAAGACCTTCTCTCTTGCACTAGAAAAGAGGACAAGAAGCAGTGGGATTGGAGAAAGCCCCTTGCCTGGGGCAGCAGACATGCCAGCGCTCCCAAGCCATCAGTTC